CAATGCAGTCGATGCGACCAGCAGAGAATTAACCCCTTCCCCCGCCCACGCCCATTCACTACAGCAAGACCGCCCCCTTCTCGTGCAAGACAGTGATAATCGCCACTAGAACACCACCCTAGACATGCCACCCACCTCCCTTACCCCTTCCTCCCCCAACAAGGTGATCGCTTATGAAGGGTTACGAAAATTAGAAATTTGGTCGATCCAAGAGGGTAAATACAAAGGAATTTTCATGGTTACCTGTTTCGTTCTTTCTCTAAGGAATTTGTTTTCGTAATGTGGGTGATTTGTGGTATGTCTGTCTGTACACAACTTCACGCCCGCGAGTAGCTGCATGCTCCCCGTGAATGAAGCATCAGGAGACGTATTTTCACTAAAAACAAACAGATCACTTTCAGTGCTTAGCTTGGATTATTAGTACACTGACTGACTGAGCTCTTTCAAACTTTGTTGAAGGGATTTGAAGAAAAAAGAGATGACAGGATTTCAGATTAAACTGTATTTCTCATCATCTGACTGCTTATTAATGTATTTTATCTGGCAGTCAATGTAGCAAGAGAGACAGAAATCGACCGGAATACTCAATAGATTTTCTACTTCAAGCCAGGAGGTCCTATAACTGCTAACGCGGACGCATAGTAAACGAGGAGTTGATCAGTAGCCTGAACTTACTTTATCCATGTCATTAGCTCCACAGTGTCAGGATCGTAGAATTCTCTCAGCTCTTCGAGGTCTTTCAACGCTTTCGGGAGACGCTGTGCAAGAGAGAAATGTTAGATGTAAGATGTAAAATGGAAATTAAACCTCTCAATCGAGAAAGGAAAAAATAATTACCTGTACATTCTAAAGGAGAAGACACGACTTTGGTTTGAAACATTCAACAAGAAACAACAAAGAACAGCAGTCTCTGTTAAATTGTGTACTTACATTGAATAGTAAAAGACCAAGGAGCATCGCAGGAACTGCATGACCCATGATTTTTGCCTACAGAGTGAAACATCAATAGAGTCTTCATAAAGCAGTGACTACATAAAATGTAAGTGATACAACTCAGATGAGAAGGAAAGTATATGTCCTTAAAAACTGCGGCAAGAGAAGATCATAAGGTACTTACCTTGATCTTCTCTTGACTGCAGCAATGAATTACATAGGAAAGTGTGCAAGAGCTGACAGTCTGGCTAGCAAGTTAGAAACACCATTTCTGGTAGACTGAAACCGCTGTTATGAAGTCTGTACTTCCGGGTAGGGCTGTTGCTAAGAAACATGATATCACCTGCTGACGACAGAGTGCCCGTTCTAGTTCTGATTGAACAGTAAGAATCGGATACTGCACGAGTGCGTCTACGACGCGAAAATCTTCCGAAAGCGACCCGACTCCACTATACCCAATAAGACTTGTACAACGATACTCACGTATATTTGTTTGATTCCTATCTTGTTTAGCACTGCTTTCCAGAAAGATTGATTACAAAATACGCCAGCAGCAAACAAGCACATGTGCGGCGTCCAAAGAAACTTGAAGCGGAGCGTAGACATGGCCAGAACACCAAAGAACACGCTTTGTATGGCTTGATACACTACTTCAGCGTGAGAGTTCAAGAAAAGAGGAGTGGCCTCTTCTGTAGTTTCTTCGTTCTTCCTGCAAAAAAGAGATCGGTTAAAGGAACGATGGTTGAAATACACGGTAGTGAAAATAAATCCAATGATCACGAATCCATCTCGGAGAGGAGTACTCCCACGTGAAAATGGCGGCGATGCTCCTCGTCTCGCTTAGGGGTGTAAATCAAGGATTCTGGTCTCACTTGGAGTGTTCAGAACAAAATGCTACTATTTTTAACCGTCAATGTATCTTCTAGGGTTGCACTCGAATAAATAGCTAATAAACTCGCCATCATGTCCGTTTAATGGTGGTATCTTTCAGCGTTCAAATAAAGCTCGAGCCACGCCCGTATTGATCGCTTTTCGGCGTTTAATTCAGATTTCCCGACAAGCATCGCCAACCTGTTCACATGGTAGTCCCCCCCGGGGAATCTACGTCCAAACCAAGTACGACTCACCTCCAGTTGGCAAACACTGTATAAGCCAGCAGAGTCAAAACAGCTACCAGTGACACCACATAGCATGGAAACACGACACCAGTGGTCAGCCTTCCGTACACATCCGTGGGAAGGAATTTAAATGCTCCTTCACAAAGATACAATAGCGAATCGAAATCCCTGTGAGGAAATTACAAATATATAATATTTGTTAGGAAAACTTGTTCTAGTCTTTTTGAAACCCACTGTCTCCCCACCCTCCATCCCTCAACGTAAAACGTCTTCCTTTAGATAGGGGATGAAGGGTGTCAAGGGTGTCGGTCCTGCCCGAGAACAACCGGTAGGAGAGCAGAAATTATTGGAGAAAAGGGAATGGAAGAGGTGGCAAATGGAGTGAAAGCACTGCATTCTGTTTTCCGCACAAAAGCACACGGCAACCCAATAATAACACGACCAGTGCGTACTTTCCGTCATAAGCCTGTTTAGCGCTTCTAAAACGTGAAAATAAAAGCGTTTAGCAACAAAACTCAACGTTTGTTGAAAGAGTTCACACAGGGTAAAAAAAAATTAACGCTTACAAATACACCTCGCAGGTATTTTTATCCTTATAAGAGTAGGCAATCCTCGAAGGCGGTAACGAAGATTTGCCGATCCCTATTGTCCAATCAGATCACAACACAGACATTCCGAGTAATCGCGTCAAGTTGTGTCGGAAGGCGGAAAACTGGATTGGTGATCAAACTGATGTGCTTCAACAGTTATCTCCAGCAATGCGGTTTATTCCAACCGCTTCGGTAAACGAACAAAGGAGCTATCGTTTTATTTTACAGTGTGACAGATAAAACCTGTAACTGGTGTACAGTACCTTCCAATGCCATAACCAAACTTTGCCTTGAGAAACTTAAAGATGTGTTCATCTGATTCTATTCTCATAAGAACCTGCAATAAATAACAACCTCTCGGATCAGAGACGTTTCAACAAAAATTTAAACGCACTGTGAGAGTGAACACAACACCAGAATATGAGGGACACTATTCTTTTACACCTGTGTGTCCCAAAGGTACAACCGAGCCCACCGCATGACCTGCAAATAACTGCCTACAAATAATGGTCTGCTCATCCGTCTAAATGTGTTTTGCTGTAAATAACATTCTGCTTATGTGTAACTGTAACCATGATCTCTGGTGAAACATGGCAGATTGCTCCCCTGAGCTGTCAGAGAGTGATTTAAATAAGAAAACAAATTTGGTAATTTAGGGTTCTTACATTTAAGAATTATTGAACTCGGTTATTGCAAAATATCGCTATTTGTCAGTGTCTCACAGATAAATTATTTGCCTCAGCCTTCGGCTTTGGCAAATAATTGATCTGCTTTCCACTGACAAATCACGATGTTTTGCTCAACCTCGTCCAATAATTGTTAAATGTAAGAACCCTAAATGATCTGTTAAGGAGATTATACGACTGTAATAGGAACCCATTGAAGTGCAGTACCCTGCACTGTCTACACAATCAGTCTGGACCAATTAGATCAAACAATCCTACTGTTTACAAAAATAGGTATATGAACAGCATAATGTACCTTAATAAGAAAGCTGATTCCTCCGGCCAAAAGTAAGACAGCAATCACATTGAGGCCCAGTTTAAATACTCTAACAAGGAAACTATCCTTTGTTTTTCTGTCACCCTGAAACACAACCAAAGAAACAAAACGTTAAGGCAAATAAGAAAGACAATCATGTTCTAATCTCTCACAAAATTTCCAGTATAAATAGTTTAAACTTGCATTACATGCTACACATATTGTCTGAGTAGAAAGCAGTTACTAATAGTTAAAAGTAAAACTCACATGAAAAGTCATGAGAGCAACGGAAGCAACAGCAAAACTCAGCGCAAGAGAACAAAGGATCATGTCATTGACAAACTGCAGGATGCATACTCCAATCAGAGAGCCAATCACAATCAAGTACAGGCTCCGAGCCTAGAACAAACGAAAGAAGGCAACAAAATCATGCAAAAATATACAAGACAATGCTGACACACTATCAAGAGATTGATGCTTCGTGATTAACACTGCACAGTTACTTTGCATCAACAATCACATTATTTTGATACCCAATTAACTTGCCGGAATGTCAGTCGGTCATTTTGGCATTAACAGCTTATTCCCTCCTAGCAAAGCAGTAGCCAAAACAGACCATAATTTTATCAAATTCTACATTTCATAACCTTTCTATTGATATATAGTTTGTGGTGGTTTCCTTGAAATTAGCACCCGTACGAATTATATTTATTTTCTGGAGCACACCCGCAAAGGTTTGGAGTAACCTTAATTTCCACTTTGTCTCAACTAGTTTTGTCCAGGGTTGAGGTAGGGTGCCAAGAAAGGCTTGAATNACGGCTCGATCCGGAAACTAGCGCATTAACCATGAGGCCACCATGCCTCCCTAAACTTATAATGAATACAATTACAACAAAATGTACCTGAGCAAGGGAAGACACATTTTTCTTGAAGAAGAAGGTTATAAATGCTATCTGTGCAAATAGGAATGGAAATCCAAAACTCTCACGAAGGGGAATAGTAAAAGATATTCTTGTAGTATCATCCCTGAAAAACAATAAAAAAAATATTTTATTAGTTTTGTCTCACTGTAAAAGAAATGCAGTCTCAAATTTTGCCTTTTAAAGGGGGTGCAAGAGGGAAGAAGGTTGCTGAGCTTTTTTCAACACTTGAAAAAAATTCTATAAGGAAAACCTTTCAAGACTTTTTAATGTTCTTTTCTTTTCTTTTAACTACTTACTTGTTAAAAATATAGAGACATGCTGAAAGGAGTCCAGCAAGCCATGAACCGCTCAGTATCCATGATGATGCAAACAAAGACACCATGTACATTCCATGTAAGCCAAAGACAGTATCAATATAAAAGTAAACGTATTCTACTGATTCCTGTAAAACGAACAAACAAACAAACAGAAATTAGAAAATTTAGAATTTACCCTTTAAAGATGAACCATATCATCATTAATATAACATATTATAATAGTTCCAAAAAGATGCTTCTTTAATATGTACTATGCACTGTTTCAGCGGAGGATTAAGAAATTTGCTCCTAATGTTTAATTCTACAAGGGAAAGAGGCTTGCTTTAAGAATGGATAAGGCAGGCAGAGGGCTTGACACTAGCAGTAACCAACTAGCCACAGACTAGTAGAAATTTAGTTTTGGCTAGTAGGTTTTCGATTTCCACTAGACACTTTGGCTAGTCAACAAAATGAAATTGGCTGAACTAGTTTCTGTCTCCAGCAAGGAAGACAAACACAAAATTTACACTTTTCTCGGAAACAAGGTCAGAATTTCATTGTGGACATATCATGTACCGGGCATGTGCTGTTCAGCAGGTACGCAAATTTAAGTTTGTCTACCTTTCGCTGGGTTGTACGTAAACAGGGAACTGAACATGTTACTTTTGTTGAAAGAAATATTTGACAAACAAGACCGCATTTTCTGAAAGCACACATCAATACTCTTTTTTGTTACAAAATTTTTTTCTTGCGCAAAATAATGCAGAACTGTAAAGGGATAACACTCCTGGCATAACATTTCATTTAGTGTAACAATACATGGATGATTTGTCGCTGTATGCATACTTACAAACTTACCACTACAGAAATAATTAGATGAGAAACATTTATTTCCTTTGACATTTAAACCAGCCGTTTACAGTATTGTTCAGATAGTTGTTTTGCTTTTGAAACATTTCTACAGCTCCTGTCCGTGAAGAAGTCTCGACAGTTTTTACAGTGATGAGCTGGGGGTCTCGATATTTTTCCAAGCAAGTCTCAGAGAAAAACAGAGTCCTGAAAGTCTTTTTGGGAACTGCAACTTTTTTTGAAACTAGTTTAAGTACAGAATAATTACCAATGTTATGTATTAAAGAGAGTCGCTTACATTGTGCTTTCAAGTCTTGCTAGTAATTGTTGTTATTGGACCTACCAGAAATTTTTGCGACACGTGAATTTTGTGAATTTCGCGATTTAAAAAAAAAATCGCGAAATTAAAGTAACGCGAATAAGGAAGTGTTGGGAACATAACACATTATGTTACTGTTGACATAGAGTACCGTCATTGGGTTTTTGTTAGTTTTGACGTCATTATACCTTTGATAAAGTCAGTTTACTCAATTCAAAGACATGTTTTAAGTAACACTGCCAAGGAAATAAATTTTGTGTTACCCAAAACGCAAAGTTAAAATGATTCAAAATACAAAATTTTAGCAAAATCCCTGAATGTGTCATGAAATATGCGCACCCCCAAATCGCGAAATAAATGTGTCGCAAAAATTTCATGTAATAAGGTGGCCAACCACAACGCTTGGCTAGTAAAAAAAGGTTTTGGCTAGAAACATCTAAGCTATCACTAGCCACTAGGCTAGTAAGTTGAAAAGTTAGTGTTGAGCCCTGCAGGCACTAATAGTTGAATGTGTGTCACGCCATAGTCATGTCACAATCATGTCACAGTCACGCCAGAGGCAGCCCTTTGGTTTTCTTTTAAAACAAGCTTCTTTCCCAAAGAGAAGAGTAGTTTTAGAACGGATACTGTTGCATAAATGTCAGCCATCTGACATGCCTACTCTGGCCTACTGTACACATAGCTGAACATACTCTTTTTTCTATAAATAAACAGTATACGTCCCCCAANGGGGGGTTTCATTATTAAGTCAAGTACATACCTCTAACTTGTATTTTCCAAAATGTATTTTGTGTTGTTTGTTTGCACAAACAAACTTCTTTGCAATGTATACACAGTGTCTTCAGTGTTCAACGTGTTTGTAATAGACTTATGACAATGCAGGAGGAGGCAGTTGTTCAGACGATCCTTTTTTGTAGTCCTTGTAAGGAAGGTTTTTAGTCTTTGTCTTTTGGCAACAAAATGCGGGGCAGCTGAGCCCCCCAAATTTTTGTTTGCAGGGGCGGCTACAGCCCCTCTGCCCCCCTGCTCTGCAGCCTTAAATGAACTGTTTATTTATATTTCACCATTGCTATTTGTGGGTGAGATGTACATTAAAGGACTAATAATTATTAATCATTTAATTATCCATCCTACCCGATAAATACTACATACCAGCTATCAAAAATAATATAATAGTTGAATTTTGGAAAAAGAGAAATTTTAAGTGTACCTGTATAGGTAAAATTCTGTACAGTGCTGCCAGGATAACTTCCTGATAAATATTGAATCTCTCTAATATGTTAATAGTCCTCAGATGCTCTGTTCTGTTGTCATGCATAACATCATAAATACCTACAATTAATACATGAAAAACAACCATATAGGTCAGTTTCTATACAATTCTTTTTAACATTTCTTTCAATTGCCTTTTTATCAGATATAGAATTAATTTTCTTAGTGTTTAAACATTGGTCATTAACAGTTTTTTTACTTACCTTGAAAAAGAGATGGCGCTAATACTATCTGCTTATAATATGAAAAATATAATCCAGATTCTGTCCTGAAGGATATTTCTCTTTCTATTTGCTGGTTTGAAAAAAAAAAGAAAGAAAGATATCAGATTCCAAAGTTTATATCAGTATTACTGCTGGATAACATGACCTACTTATGCAGGTAAATACCAAATTAGGCAGGGCTTGAAATTAACTTTTTGGTTGCCAGATCGTAAATTTTGGTTGCCAACTTATTTTAAATATAACTTACACCAGAACACGATTTTATCTGTTACTTCGCATGCAAGAAAAGTCACAATTGAAGAGCGAAAACAATTAAAAACAACACGAGTAACACTTAGTTATAAAGCTACTGTTGTTTTCAGGTGATATGCCTCTGTTCCGAAGGTGATGGTTGTCTCCATAGTCATTTTAAATGAAGCAAAGCATAAAATGTTTTAAGTCCGTGGTTTTCATCGTGAGACAAACACTGGTCCTTGCATATTT